CAGTCCTCTGTCCGGTGGCCGCGCTCCCGGTGAAACGTGCAACGGTACCGCGGATTGAAGCCCTTCTGTCCGTCGCCCAACTTAACAGGAAACCGGACATATTCCTCGTCACGGATTTCACTAAGTATGCGATAGATTGGAATCTTAAAGACCGTGGTGATACCTGTTACCTGTCCTGGCCTTCAACCTTCTGTTTGCATTGGCTACGTCATCCCGGGGGTAGTCATCCGAGTCATTCCGACGTCCTCTACCCCGATTTTTACGATTTGAGCCACGGTCCGATTCCTTAGCGTGGTCATTTGAACGGCTGGACTCGTGTCCGACCGCGTGCACTTTGCCAGCCGACCTTTTGTTCGTTGCTACCGGAGTTGCCTTCGCGGTAGATGCGGACGCGTTATCCTCCACTTGGATGTGCTCATTGATGCACTACATTAGCTGGCTCATGGATGTCGGCTGGTGCATGGTAAGCGAGTCCCGTAGTCTATGTCCGACCAGGAGACCACACTTGTATTGTGTGATTGCAAGGTTGACCAAGCAATCCAAGATCTCGTTGAAGGTCTCCCAATATCTAGAGTTGTATGCCTTCAATGTGTTGCTCGGTTCCATCTTGACACTCAGTAGGTGATCAACTTCCTTTGGTGTTTTGGTGTTGGTTTTGAAGCGCGTCACAAAGGCTTCGGCCAAGGTTTTGAATCGAGTCACGAATGCTTCCGCCAATTGCTGCCACCTTTCAATGCTCTCCTCCGAAAGCCTCTCAAACCATTGCAAGCCCAACTCGCCCAGACTCGATAGGAAAATAAGGCACATGAGAGCATCATTACGCCGGTGTCCGGCCATAACCTGCCAGAAGTGGCGTACATGCATGTACGGATCGTTTTTCCCATCATAAAGCATAAACTTGGGTTGATGAAAGCCTATTAGGAGCGGTGTGGTCTTTATCTCAAAGCAGAAGGGGGTGGCACTCAGCCTTGCCAAATCTTTCTCCAGAGGGATAGGCACGGCTGAGAGTGGTGGCGGCATTATGGCTTCCTCGCTAGCGTGACCTCCGTAGGATAACCGCTGGAGCGCCGGCACACTTTGAACCTCCCGTTGGCGAGCTCGTTCCTTCAAGAAGTCCCTCAAGTTCTTCGAATAAGCGCAGTAGGAATACCTCGATGTCGTCGGCGGACGTGAGGGATGGTAGCTACTATCTTGCGCGCTAGACTTCTCAGCAGGTGGGTCTTTGTCTCCAACCCCATAACTTCTGGTGATGGAAAGAGAGGGCGTGTGTCGTTGGTTCTGGTTGCCTGAACGGCGGGGTTGGGTGCGCTCACTGTGATCTCCCACTCCAGCTACATCCTTCCCTTTGACATGCCGTTTCAGCTCCTCCATCTCCGCTGCCATTCGTCGGATGACGGCATCCTAGTCCCTTAGCTTGTGTTCCAGACGTCTGGCGTGCGATTCTCTCCACCGCCGATGACCGTCTGGACTCCGCGAATGACCATAACTTCTTCCGTGCTTATCACGCGCGTCTTCTGAGTGTCCTCCTGGAGAAGTCTCCAGGTCCGCCACCGGAGGAATGATGGTGGGATGTCCTTCTCTCCGTCTGTTCGACTCCGGGGTAACTTCGTTGACGGCAGACAGCGGAATCTCTCCGTTGTTCTCCATGGACGGCGATCAGATGAGCCTGGAAGACAAGGTTTTGTCTACAAAGTTTCCACAGACGGCGCCAATTGTGCGGGGAGCAAATATTTAGGCAAGCCCGCACTTCTTTCTTCCAAGCTCCTGTCTGTCCGATCGACCTGCAAGCACAACGGTGGTAAGCTACCTGGCGGTGTGTGGTCGGAAAATCCCTCCGACGATCAAGTTAGACACACACACACAGGGATAGAGAGAGAGAGAGAGAGGACTGAGTTGTGTTTAGTGTTTATCTCACCAAAATGTCATCTGTCTAGTATGGGGGCCGCAGACTCGCTTATATACCTCCTGCGCCCCAAATCTACTCCCATTAGTCTCTCGACACGTGGTGCTGTTATCCCATCTGTCAGCACAAATCTTGCTGAACATCACCTAACCCAACTGCCAGCCCACTCTACTGGGAGCTCGGCAGCCGGATTGCAGCATCTTGGCTGCCAACGGCCATGCCGCACTTCAAGCCCAAGTGTTCCAATAGCCAAGCTCATTAAGGACCGAGCTCGATTGTATCCCGGCATAGCCAAGCTCGGGACAGCTCATACTAGTTTGCTACCGGCCTTCCTGCCGAGCTAACTTATGAACCATGGAACATCCACGCCTTGCCTGGCGCCGGTCATTTCACTTGACTGGCTTCTACACCATGAAGCCACGTAGATCGGTCCGACCACGCCTGCCCTGGCGCCAGACATCTCACTTGACCGGCTTCTATACCATGAAGCCAAATAGCTTGGTTCGACCACGCCTTGCCTGGCGCCGGACATCTCGCTTGATCGGTTTCTATACCATGAAGCCAAATAGCTTGGTCCGACCACGCCTTGCCTTAACCGAGCAAAACCTTTCAGGATAGGCCCGTTTCACCGCAGCCCAAACTTGTTTGGCCCAAATTTGCCCGGCCATTACCATGGCCCAAACCAGACCATAAATCTCCCTCTCAATATGAGAATCTTTTTTATTTGGAATGATTTAAGATATGGAATACTTCAAACATTCTAAAAGGACGTGGAATTGTTCAAATATTTCAAAAGGAGTACAGAAACTCCTTAGTAAAGTTTTGAACAAATATATAATTTCAATTTGTGATACTTCAATGTAATACTCAAACGTAACACTCTAATATAGCATTTCAAAAAAACTCATTATTATAATTTTTCCAGATGTAATATGCTAATGTAACACTCAAAAAAAACTCTTTAGTGTAAAACTCTAATGTAACACACACAAAAATTCCTTTAGGATACTTTTTCTAAACGTAATATTTCAATGTAATACTCCAAAAAAAGATTGTTGGATTCTTCAAACCATTCTAAAAGGGTGTGGGATTCTTCAAACTACTCTAAAATGAGTACAAAATTTCCTTACTAAGTTTTGAATAAATGTGTAATTTCAAACTTAGAGTATTACATTTGGAAAAAGTATACTATGTTGTTTTTTAGTGTTTTTATGTGTGTTACATTAGAATGTTATATTTGAGATTACGTTGATTAAAGTGTAACATTTGGAAAGAGTACACTAAGGAGGTTTTTTTTTTTTTGTGTTATATTAGAGTGTTACATTTGAAAAAAATTTGAAATGTTGCACTGTTACATTTGAAAAAAGTACAGTAAGGAGTTTTTTTAATATGTTACATTGAAGTGTTACGTTATTAGAATATTATATTAGAGTGTTACGTTCCTATTCGTAATGCGGATTTTGTTCCAGAAAGTGGGAAAACCTAAAACATCTATAGTGCAGATTGCCCAAATGTATAATTTTATATTTGAAGAAACCTACTTTTATACCTAACAAATTAAACCCAAACATGTAAATGACAACCCTTTTGTGTAATTTTCATTTTAACGGAACGTTTGAGTTCATAAGAAAAAATAAATGACTAAACTATTCATAAGATCACATTTTGGGATTTATTAGTACTTCACCGCTTAAAAAAAATTGCTTAGAATATTTAAAAAATTCAGTAAAAATTTAAAAAAACAAAAAACAAAAAAATTAAATTTTTTGAGAAGTGAATTTTAAAAATCCAAACCAAACAAGTTGAATATTTATTCTTTGATTTAATAAATATTTGATGAAAGGATTGGAAGTTATTTATGAACATTTTTTTGTTAAATTAAATTTGATGAAAAAAAAAGGTTAAGAATTGAATATGCTCCGAGGAGAAAAATAATTCAACCAATCAATTTCTTTCACCTATGCGATTTTCATTTGCACCACACATATCTACTATTATACATTATATTTTTGTAATTTTTTTCATTTGTTCTTATTGATTAAGTATTCTCCCTTTCAACTATCAACACATCTGTCAACCCAGGTCATATCGATTGAGGGGTTGTTTGAGATTGGCTTTTTTTAAAACTTTCTAAAAAAAATTAGATTTTTTATAATCTACTTGTCTAGACGAACCATAAAAGTAAAAAAATAAAAAAATAAAAAATTGGAAAAAGAGTAAAAAATTGTTGTTTTTTTTGGCTTTTAAAAGTATTTTTTTTTTATTTGTTTGCTTTTTAGTTATCAATTTTTGAATTTGTTTCTAGTTTCTATATTCTTCTACACTAGATAGACTAGAAAAGTAAAAAAATAATAAACACAAAAAAAATCAGAAAAAAAAATTGAATTTTTTGGCTGGATGGCAAACGAAGCCTCAATGTTGCATCCTCCTACTATGCTGAAAGCAATTAATCAGGGAAGGAACTTTTATGGAAGTGTAAAAAAAAAGGTTAAGAATTGAATATGCTCCGAGGAGAAAAATAATTCAACCAATCAATTTCTTTCACCTATGCGATTTTCATTTGCACCACACATATCTACTATTATACATTATATTTTTGTAATTTTTTTCATTTGTTCTTATTGATTAAGTATTCTCCCTTTCAACTATCAACACATCTGTCAACCCAGGTCATATCGATTGAGGGGTTGTTTGAGATTGGCTTTTTTTTTAAACTTTCTAAAAAAAATTAGATTTTTTATAATCTACTCGTCTAGACGAACCATAAAAGTAAAAAAATAAAAAAATAAAAATTGGAAAAAGAGTAAAAAATTGTTGTTTTTTTGGCTTTTAAAAGTATTTTTTTTTATTTGTTTGCTTTTTAGTTATCAATTTTTGAATTTGTTTCTACTTTCTATATTCTTCTACACTAGATAGACTAGAAAAGTAAAAAAAATAATAAACACAAAAAAAATCAGGGAAAAAAATTGAATTTTTTGGCTGGATGGCAAACGAAGCCTCAATGTTGCATCCTCCTACTATGCTGAAAGCAATTAATCAGGGAAGGAACTTTTATGGAAGTGTTTCCAAATTGTGAATCCAATCATGGCAATCACAATAGAGGAGAAAATAAAGAAGCTCTTTTTATAAAATCAAGGCAAAGTGTATTGCTTTGCAAGGCCTCAATTCATATACATGTACACTTCCATGGAGATGGAACACAAGATTCTATAGATAAAAGCTCCACTGTCACATCCTTGACAGTATTGACTACATGGAACTTTTATCATCTCCCTCCAACAACCAGTAAAATCATCTATTTTTCTGGTTTGGTGCCTGCATCACCAGAAAATTATAACAACCAATTAAAAAATAAATGGTGAATAAATGTTCAGAACACATGGATTTAGCATACCAGAATAGAACAGAATATCTGGAAAACCAACAACAACAACAACAACAAAAAAAAAAAAAAAAAAAAAAAAAAAAAAAAAAAAAAAAAAAAAAAAAAAAAAAATTGGCCAACTGCTAAAAAGAAAAGACAGAAAATTTCATACTAAATGGTCAATCCAAGTCATCAAAAATATAGTGTGCATGCATTTTCTACTCTTCACTCGCATCTAGATATGCCTCAGACATATTATGAATTTTTCTTTTTTTAATTTTTGCGGAGCCAAATATGAAGGATTCACGTCCGTGATTATTTCATTATTTATGATGCCCTGGTGCCTGAGGGCTTGTCTTGTGTCCACAATATGATGAAGGAAAAGTCTACAGAACCAGAAAACTAACCACAAAAATCAAAAATTTTAGATCTATGGTGTACATTTGAAGTTCTTGTTGTGCATTTGAAGTTCTTGTTGTGCGGCAACACCTTGAGTGAATCTTGGCCATAGATTTTAAATTATGGGTGCCTTTCTGATATATATATATATATTTCTTGGGTACGTAGTATTTCTGTATGATGAAACACACATTTTCAGTTGACTATCATAGATAAAAATCTGTTTAAACACTGTTTTAATTCCAGGGGGTAGCCAGGCATTTTCTAAACATCGGTGGTCAAATGGTCTATAGCGATGATCTTTGAATAAAAAGTTGTTTTGAAGTTAAGCAAAAAATTACCGTGTACGAAAATTGAGACAATAATCCAAAGGAAGCCATTTACCTGATGCTTTCTCAGTTTTTGTATTTCATGGTTTCTTTCTCAAATCCAACTGTTGGGAATTGTTTTGCATATTCCTCAACCTCATGTCGGAGCTTTGCAATCTCAGATTGAATCGGAGCACTGGACTGCATTGTCGCCAAAAAGTCTTTCAACTTCGTCCCTGCACCATAAAAAACAGCATACGATACAATCCCCTTGTTAGCACACTCTAGGACAAGGGTATGATTGCAACTAACCATAAATACGCGTACATGTCACACATCACGAGCATATATGAATAAAGTGGTGATCACTCTACTTCTACACGCAAATGGACACTATCGACAATAATATTTAAGAATTGAGATATAATCAGTTTAGGAACCTTTAGTTTCAGCCTTTATCTTCACAGCCACCTTTACAGCAGCGTCAAAGAAGTCAGCAACTTTGGCAAAATCCTCCTCAACAAATCCCCTGGAAGTGAGAGCAGGGGTTCCTGAAAGCACGAGAATTCATCAACTTTCTGTAATTTAAATAAGATAACTGAGGTACAATATGATTAAGAGGCCTATACCCATCCTGATGCCACCGGGAACCATAGCAGATACATCGCCGGGAACAGTGTTTTTGTTGGCTGCAATGTGAACAGATTCCAACACCTTCTCAACTCTGGAACCATCAATACCCTGTTGGAAAGAAATCAAATGTAAAGGAAACACATAATAGCTATAGCTAAACAGAATTGGATAATTTCTAAACAGAATTTAAAAAAAAATAAAAATCTCCTAACTAGTGAAAGATTGAATCCGTTTTCTCCTTTACCATATTTTTTAAATTCACCAAAACTAAGTGGTTCTCAGTCCCACCAGAAACAAGTTCATAGCCATTCTCAGTTAAAGTCTGCAAATTTGAAAGATCAGTTAGGCATTTTCTACACCAACGGAGCACCATATTGGTTAAAACTTATTAAGTATAAGAAGAACAAGACAGGTGTAACAATGAGAACTTGCTGTAACTAGTTCTGACATGTCATTGGGCCATACCTGTGCAAATTTTGAGCAATTGCTGAGAACTTGCTCTTGATAGGCTTTGTATTCTGGAGTCATAGCCTGCATTTTACAAGAATATGAGAACAGAAATATAGAGGTTCGAACAATTCATCTTTGTGTCTATAGGTTCTGAGTCCCAAAACAAATTAGCATGCTATGCTTGGTAATCCTCTATGGGCCAACAGTTTTTTTTGGCAGCCTTCGAGTTTTATCCAACTGCACACTTAGAACCTACTATTCATACTTTTTTGTTTAGACTATTTGAATACGTCTACATGATATCACTGTAGTGTGATACATATAAAAACATATATGCAAAATGATCCATCGAAAAGCATGTTGCATACTATTAAACAGCATGTCCATTGAACAGCATCGTATAGATCAAAAACTACAACTACAGAATTACTTATTTTTGTATTTTTAAGACCATTATGGCATTATGGATCTGAATGGTTTGCAATCTAGAGAAAGCCTCATGCTGACAACCATTGGGCCAATGGCAAGAATCTTTTTTTTTTCTTTTTCTTTATCATACATGGTTGCATTCAATGGTCATATATTCACACCAGGTTGCATATATGTTCTGGGAAGTCTCAATGAATATTATCCTGTCAGAAACTAACCTGTTTCAATGCAACTGCTAAGCCAGTAATTGTGTGGTTATGTGGACCACCTTGAAGTCCGGGAAAGACAGCTTGATTGATTTTGTCTTCATAGTCATACAACACCTTCAAGAAGAGCTCAAAGTATTAATATGTGTACTTATTTTTTCTGTTCTTTTTTTATTTCAAACCATGCAATTGAAATTTTATTAATTGTAACTAGAGGGCTACAGAATGCAAAAAATGAAACAGTTAAAATGCTTTGCTTTAAACAACTCACCTCTTTTCCTTGTTTATTAATCTCCTTTACCCCCTTCCTGAAGAAAATCATTGCACCACGTGGACCACGAAGGGACTTGTGGGTTGTGGTGGTCACAACATCAGCATAGTCAAATGGTGATGGGATGACACCGGCTGCAACCAAACCACTGATGTGTGCCATATCTGCCAACATAATAGCTTTCTGCTTGTCACAGACCTGTGGAATACATGGAAAATATGAACTTGAAGCTATAGAGAATTCAAATGAAATAAGTTAAATTCTGATGTCTGATTATATTAACTGAAATAAAGTAAATCAATCAAGTGGATTTACCTTGCGAATTCGTGCATAATCATATAGGCGTGCATAAGCACTAGCACCAGCAACTATCAGTTTTGGCCTGAAGAGTGTGGCACTTTTCTCCATCTGCCATTTAACAGTTTCAAAGTCTCATGAGCCTAATTCTAATAACCAGGTAGAGCTACACAATTTACACTGGCAATGATGAAGCTGAAAAAAATATGGGGTGAAGTAGCAAGGAAAGATTCACAATAATAAGTGAAGAAGAAGGCTACCTGATCGTAGTCGATATAGCCAGTGCTCTCATTTAATCTGTATGGCATTGTCTCAAAAAATATTGAAACTGCAGATATCTTCTTTGTGTCAGTCTGCTCAATACGAAAAGGGAGAAAATTAGATTACTTCCATATTATGTAACCAATGGAAATTCTTATATTTACCAAAAAGACAAGATCATAATCAGGAGATAAAAATGATGTAATGTACAATGAAGTTCCTGAGAACTATTATCCAGATTCAATTCAGTCAATTCTGTTTGGCTTTAGTAAGTTACTCCCGGCAAGCCCAGAGAAAAAACTTTTCTAAATTTACAAATATGTATGCAGAGAATCATCAAAGAGTAATCTTTTCTTGTTATGAGTCGTGGAAGTACAAGCTTTTCAATAAGTGTGTTCTTCATGGCCCAGACGTTCTATAAAATCCCAGATTTTCCACAGGCAGTTTTTTTTTTTTCCTGTTTATACCTTCCACACAGAAGTTGGTGTTAGAATATAAGTTTCAGCTTGCAGTAGTTTCTGATTATTTAGTTTTATTTTTATTTTTTGATAAGTAACAGCAGTTGTTTCAGATGATTGATAATTCAAAAAACCAGTGAAGAGTGCTTAAATTGATAATTCAAAAAACCAGTGAACCTATAACAGACAAACAAGTAGTAAAAACATTTCCTTGACAGAATTTATTTAGTCCGCCCAATATGTCAGTTTCCAGTTTCCAACAAGAACATTGGTGCTGGGGCATCAAAATGCATGCAATTGACAGTTTAAACCACCAATGAAGATAAAAACAGACATAACACATTTCACAAGTGCAGATGAATTATCATGCACTGATAATCATGTAATTTCAATTGAACTAATTAAGAATAGAACAAAATAATCCTTTCTACAATCTTTTAAGGTGAAAAAGGTTTAAAACAGACTTACATTTAATTTATCAGAGACTACCACAACCTAAAAACAGGAACTAGTTATTTAGCAGAAAATAAATAAATAATGGAAGTTGTAATCACCTGATAGCCATGCGAAAGATGTCCACCATGAGGAAGATCAAGAGCCATGATTCTTTCATGAGGTTTTAGTAATGCGGTGTAAACTTGAAAATTAGCTGGAGACCCAGACAAAGACTGCACATTCACTGCATCATAACAGGTCATTAGAATTCTTCTTCTTCTTCTTCTTTTTTTTTTTTTTTTTTTTTCATAAACATGTATGGAATTATGGTCTTGTCTTTTAGTAAAATCTCAAAAGGCAATAAAAAGCACATGAGTGTACATTGTTTACATCCCAAACAAGTCTACGTTTTTGCTGTGCATAGATTACACACCTCCCCATTTTGAAGGGTCCAACCGAAATGCTTCTAGAGCACGCTTCTGGCATAAGGATTCGGCCATATCAATATACCTGAAAGAAAAAATTCTCATACTATCAGAATTATTGTTTACCAGTAAGTTAAAGACTACAAGAAATGAGTCAACTACGCATATGGACTTATGCTAATTGATATCAGCAGCCATTAGATATTTACAGATATTACGAGAAACATAAGAAACAAAAAATAATAAAAATAGATGAAGCGATCCCCGTACTCATTTCCTCCATAGTATCTAGCACCCGGGTATCCTTCACTATATTTGTTGGTCATTACCGACCCAACTGCTTGCATCACAGAGATAGAAGTGAAATTCTCCGAGGGTATCAGTTCAAGTCCCTTCACAAACATAAATTGAATTCCATGAGATATCAAATTCAAAATGAAATTGTATCTTGTAACCACATTATGAAGGTTTTCTATGTGACAGTGTATTTGTTTGCTCAGAAAATGCAGGACAAAGTAACCAAAATTTTGAACCTTAGATTATCTTTCATTTGGCACCCAAGAAAATAACACCTTTAGTCAACTGACCTGAGCAAAACTATTTCACTCATGCTCTATTATGCTCTATTTGTTTCGGCAGAAAACATTTTTCATTTTTTGGCTTTTGGTACGACGGAAAATGAAAGTCAAATGGAAAACGTTTTTTGTGAAAAACAAGTTTATTTTGGCAAAAAATATTTTTCACTTTTGAAAAATGAAACAAGTTTTTCAAACTAACATTTTATCTTTACCACCACACTACCACTAGCAGCTCATCCTCCGCCACCATCACCACCACCACCACCACCACCATCTCCACCTCACAACCAACACCACCGCCAATACAACCACTTTAAAGGTCAGAGTCAAATATAAGAAAACAATCTTTTTCATTGAAACTGTTTTCTGTCAAAACAAACATAATTATGGTAAAATTCTAATCTTCTAGACAAATTAACCAAAACAATAAAAACTAAGATTCAAAATTTTGCACTCTTAATTTTCCTATCTACCAAACTCTGGTAAAAATAAGTATATATAGATAGGGAGAGAGAGAGAGAGAGAGAGTATATACCTTCCATTGTCTAGCTTTTTCAAGCTCGATAATATTAGCAATCTCAGGATCGACAATTTCAAGCGGAGAATTCAATTGCTTTGGCCACTGTAATGTGATTTTCGATTTAAATCATTGACATGTTCATATCAAATGAGATCAAACCCATATTAAGAATCACATAAAGAAGCAGAAACAATAAATCAAACAGTTCACGTGCTTAACTGAGACCCGACATTTCTCCTTCTCATACACAGCTTCGTTCGGCAAAGACGACTGCCAAAAAAAAAAATAAAAAAAAATAAAATTCGTTAATACAAAATCGAAAAATGTTTTCTCTGTTTTTAGAAAAAAAAAAAAAAACCATGTAATAGAGGGATCCGCCATTGATGAGGCGCTGAATTGGCTTCTCCACTGAAGATGAGAGTCTGCGAAGCGCCAATGCCATTGCCATCTCTCTCTCTCTCTCTCTCTGTTTCTCTATCTTCTTCAGTCTCTCTTTTTGTGCTCTTTGGCTGAGCTTTTGGTGGTTGGAGAATTTTATTTATTTTTATTTTATTTTTAATTTCTGGTTTTGTCGTTAACTAACGAAAGGTTTATCTTTTTTCGATAAGATCTCAATTCAATGTGTCCCAACACATTCACTTTTTTAACATATATTTTTTATTTTTTAACAAGAGGATGTTAATAAAAATATATAATGTGTTGATTTTTTAATTTTTTTAATCAATTGATCTTAGTTTGATAGCTTTCAACTTAAATAATAAAATCAATAATTAGGCTGGCAAGAAATTTAAAAGTTTGAATTCAAGTTTGATTTGGGCAGTGTCACTGAGCAATTCAAATAATCTAAAATCTAAACTATATATAAATATACATATAAATTAATATTTCAATTGAATAATGTTAAAATTATGTGAACTTTTAGATTATATTAATTATATATAATATACACAAGTAATAAAACATAAAAATCTTATCCTTTTTTTTTCTCATTAAAAAATGGCAGAAATATTGATTTCTCATTTTTTTAAAATTATTTATTTTGATAAAATTAATGATTTTATAAAGAAAAAATGTCAATTGGGTCTAACTTTAAAAAGATTAATTAGCCTAGTTAAAATATTTAAAAAAAAAAACAAAAAAAAAAACTAGACTTCGTGGGCAATTTGCCCGAGTTCAACTTATTATGTTGAAGCTAAATTTAGATTACAAGTTAAACTCAAACTAATTTAAAAAAAATTTCATCTCAATCGAATCGGTCCGAATTGCGCACTTAAAAAACCTGGATAATTGCACACCTACCAAAAACCAACCATGGAAGCCCTATCTTAAGCGTACATTTCTCAGCCACAAAGTGAGTGTCTATCAGAGAGATATGCTTGATAGGGCCATGACTTGTTTGAGATGGAAAGTTGGCCACCTAAGCCATATGTTTGAATGAACTGTTTCTATTTCAGCTCCAGGTTTTTCTTTTGTGTCACTTTTACGAATTATTAATAGAAAGTAATATTGGGCTCCGGGCTTTAGATCCATTCTTTGGTTACAGATTACTCAAAAATGGGCCGACCTTGGGCCTTAAAAATGGGCTCATTGGAACATATTTCTATTAAATTATTTAAGGTTATAATTTATTTTCAATACACTCTATTTTTTCACAAGATAAATTCATAATTTGTAGTACACCCAACTCTATTGGTTTGTAAGGGTTGAATTCGGAGGGGTTGTACCTTTTGGAGTTCAAGAAAAGCATCCAAGATGAATTTAATCATTTGGGAAAGTGTAATTCCAATTACCAAACACCATATGCTTGGAAGGGTGTGAATTGCACATTGGATTATAATAATCCAATGGTGGTGTCTGTTGATTTGAATTCGATGAACCTTTCTAGGATTCTAAGTCCTAGTATTTGCAGTTTGGTTAATCTTAACAATCTTGATGTTTCTTACAATGGGTTCACAAGAAATATTCCCAAGGAGATTGAAAATTACTCGAGGTTAAAAAGTCTTTATTTGAACAATAATCAGAATATGGAGACTTGCTTTGTGTCAGAACAACCTTATTGATAAAATTCCTGTTGAGATTGGGAATACCAAGATCTTGAAGAAGCTATACTTGTATATGAACAAGATGATGATAATAGTAAATAGTAAATTTTGGTAGGGTAAATTGGAATTTTGGAATGAGGAAGAGGATGAAGATAAAATAATTAAAATTTGGAAAAGAAGATGAAGAAACTTGAATATGAAAAATATGTATAAATTATTAGGGTTTAGGGTGTACCATGATAAAAAAATTATATTTTATTTTAAAATTTAATGTGCATTATCTTTATTAATAAAATTACATTAAAATATAATAAGAACTAAAATTTTAAAATTCTAAGTGTGCATACTAAGGCCAAGTTTGGCTACAAAGAAAAAAATGCACTTATTTCATCTTTTTATCTTTTTTGGGTCACATCAATCAACATCTCCTCTCTACTTTTTCTACACATAATACAAAAAAAGTCAAAAGTGCACTTATTTAGTCTTCCCATGTGCATACTAAATTACTATTTGGGTACCCCTTACTCTGTGGGACTTATTAGGGCCGGTTTGGGAACTCTTAAAAAATCTTAAAAGTCAAAAAGTTATTAAAAAAGTTAAAAAGTTATCACTATACACAAAAAAAATATTAAAAAAATATTTTTCACATATTAATACAAATAAAAAAAAATACAATTAACAAGGTACTGACATGATAGGCCCGTCAATGACCGGGAAAAAAAAAATAGGGAGCAAAATCTTTATTAAATTGGATGGTAGAGTTGGGCCCGTGGAGGCTCACCATGGGTCCCGTTTTGATAATCTGAACTGTTCAATATGTAGAACTTGTCTAGTACTATATGCTTGTAAAAAATTACGTCTATCGGATATCGCTAAATACAGGATCAAATCAGTTTTGTATAAAAATGGATGGTGTTATAATTAATAGTTAACAGTTAACAAAAAAAACTAACACGATCAGATAACTATCGATATCCAATCAACGTGATTTTTTACAAGCATATAGTACTCGACGAGTTCTACATATTGAACGGATTCGATTGGTAAAATGGGACCTTTTGTGACCCCCATGGGCCGAACAGAAACAACCAATTTATGCCCAAAAAGTAGAGAATCAATCTATTCCAAAGTCCTCCGCCACACTGCCCTTTAGGCTGCCCGCCGTACATTCTTCACTTTATTCCTTTATATACTTATTTATATAATTTTTTAATACACATTTTTCTATAAAAAGTTAAAAAGTTAACCTAAATATCCATATTTTTTTCTCAATTTTTTAATCTAAAAAAATAAAAAATACACTTATTTAAGATACCCCAAACAATCCTTATTTAAAAGGTTGGAGGCCTTACCTTACTGGACTTATCAGGGATGGACAAAAAGTTATCAATAATACTAGGGACTGTACTATTTGATGTATTGCCAATATATTACCAGTAATATAATGTAAGATATAAAAATAAGCCAAAAACAGAAAGTAAAAAAATCTAGCTTATTTTAATCACACACTCGCGAAAAAGGGTTAAACAAACTAGCTTCATTCGGTTATTATATTTGGACAAAATAGGTTAAGCCTCCGTATGCCAAGAGAAGTTTGGACTATTTTAGTTATTACCGGATAAAAGGGCAAAATTAGCCAATAGAGAGAAAAGCTTGTCACGTGTTTGGCAACAATTTATGCCACAGTAAATTGACTAAACTATCCTTACATGAACCTGATTGAAAGGGGCATCGCCTCACCACACACAAAGTAAAAAAAAAACATTTTCCCAAAAAAAACAAAGAAAGTAAAAAAAAATTAAAAATTAAAAATAGAAATTAACAGTTGCCACGCAATTTAAAAATAAATAAAACACATGAAAAACCATTTTTTAAAAAAAAATAAAAAAATTAATGTATACAAATAAAAATAAAAATGACAAAAACGTAAATTAAAAAAAAAGAACCACAAAAATATGCCTCATCCAAAAAAAAAAAATTAAGAACATAAATTAGCATTTGCCACGTAATTTAAAAATAAATAAAACACATGAAAAATCATTTTTGAAAAATAAAAACAAATTAATGTATACAAATAAAAATAAAAATGACAAAAACGTAAATTAAAAATAAAGAATCACAAAAATACGTCTCATCCCAAAAAAAAAAAATTAAAAATAGAAATTGGCATTTGCCACGTAATTTAAAAATAAATAAAACACATGAAAACCATTTTTGAAAAATAAAATCAAATTAATGTATACAAATAAAAATAAAAATGAAAAAAACGTAAATTAAAAAAAAAAGAACCACAAAAACATGCCTCATCCAAAAATAAAAATAAAAAATAAAAACAAAAATTGGCATTTGCTACGTAATTTAAAAATAAATAAAACACATTAGAAATCATTTTTGAAAAATAAAAACAAATTAATGTATACAAATAAAAATAAAAATGACAAAAGCGTAAATTAAAAAAAAAGAACCACAAAAATACGCCTCATTCAAAAAAAATAAAATAAATAAAAACAGAGATTGACATTTGCCACGTAATTTAAAAATAAATAAAACACATGAAAAACGATTTTTGAAAAATAAAAACAAATTAATGTATACAAATAAAAATAAAAATAAAAAATGACAAAAACGTAAATTAATACAAATAAAAATAAAAATGACAAAAACGTAAATTAAAAAAAAACCAGAAAAATAAGCCTCATCCAAAAAAAAATTAAAAATAGAAATTACCATTTGCCACGTAATTTACAAATAAATTAGCAGTTGCCACGTAATTTTAAAATAAATAAAACATATGAAAAACCATTTTTGAAAAATAAAAACAAATTAATGTATAAAAATAAAAATAAAAATGAGAAAATGGTAAATTAAAAAAAAAGAACATAAAAATACGTCTCATCCAAAAAAAAAAAATTAAAAACAGAAATTGGCATTTGCCACATAATTTAAAAATAAATAAAACACATGAAAACCATTTTTGAAAAATAAAATCAAATTAATGTATACAAATAAAAATGAAAATGAAAAAAACGTGAATTTTAAAAAAAAGAACCACAAAAATATGCCTCATCAAAAAAAAAATAAAAAATAAAAACAGAAATTGGCATTTGCTACGTAATTTAAAAATAAATAAAACACATGAAAAATCATTTTTGAAAAATAAAAACAAATTAATGTATACAAATAAAAATAAAAAAGACAAAAGCGTAAATTAAAAAAAAAGAACCACAAAAATACGCCTCATCCAAAAAAATTAAAATAAATAAAAACAGAAATTGACATTTGCCACGTAATTTAAAAATAAATAAAACACATGAAAAATAATTTTTGAAAAATAAAAACAAATAAATGTATACAAATAAAAATAAAAATAAAAATAAAAAATGAAAAAAACGTAAATTAAAAAAAAAGAACCACAAAAATACGCCTTATCCCAAAAAAAAAAATATAAATAAAAACAAAAATTGGCATTTGCCACGTAAT